CCCCAAAACCCCAAAACCCCGTTGTTAAATTTCTCAATTTATCTTTTAATAATGAGATATTTTTTATTTTTGAGATTAAAGCTAATATGAGGGTGAATGTTTTAAATTTATGTCATAAAGATCAAACTTTTGTAGTTGACTAATCATCTTACCAATTTGTTTGAATAGGCTGGTATTGCTATTGATAGATAAGGTTTTAGTCTGTAGGATATACTTGTGGGTATACTTGATGATATCCTTGTGGTTAACTTAAATCTGGTGGCTAGTAAATAGGATAGGCATTGTTTATATTTTGTGGTTGCATTTAATTATGATCATGTTTATGACTATGATGAGAATGGCTAGAATATGAAGAATGGACATCATGAGTTTAATGATGATCAATATGATGCTTATTCTTATTTACACAACAACACCCAATACAGAAACAGCAAAAGAAAACACTGCCAATTACTATGCCAGCGATAACTCCTGGAGATACTGATTCTTTAGAATCAGAGTCTCTATCAGAATAAGAATATTGACTGTCACTATCAAAATATCCATTATAAGCATAATAATATTGTTTTTGATAGTCTGGTTAAACGTAAGTGTAGCTATATGTGTAGGTATAAGTATTTTCTGGTTTGTAAGTTTAGGTAGTAGTATTTGCTGGCTTGGTAGTAGTTGTTGATTTGTAAGTTTAGGAGGTAGTATAGTGAGTGGTAGTTGTTGTTCTGTAAGTTTAGGAGGTAGTATAGTAAGCGGGCTAGTAAGCTGGTTTATAAGCGGTTGTAGTAGTAGTCCTGGTTGTAGTAGTAGTCCTGGTTGTAGTCCTTTAAGTTGGTCTTGATGTTGGTCTTGTTGTTGGTGAGCTGTAGCTTGATTTCAAGTTAAGAATATTGAAATTTTCTCTAATTATCTCTGCTTTAGAGGGTACTGCCACTGATTCAGAAATAGTTTGAACAGAAGCTTCATTTAGTTAATTACCATTAGTTTCTTTGCCTATTGATTCAATGTTATTGGGAATATACTGGTAAGAGCTGTTTGTTTATGTTGGCTTATAGGAATATTGAATAGGAGAATAAATATAGGTGGAAGGCTTATATGTATAGGAAGATGGTGAGTATCTGAAGGAAGAAGTATATGTCCTCGAATTAGAGGGTTTGTAGCTTACTCTGTAAGAAGACTTTAGAGATATGATATCTTGATCATCAATCTAATCGTTCACTTCTTAGGCTTCTTTCCGATAGGTTGATCTTACTCTTTTGTACTCTTTTTTAGTATCCTAAAGAGTTTGCTAATTGCCTTCTATTACTACTTATACAGTATCATCTATAGCATTTTCAAGCATCTCTCCAATTGAAAGAGGTCTATCAACATTTTAAGAAGAGACTAAGCCAAGGAGGATAAACGCTATAATAGATATGCTGTTTCTCTATTTTTTCATTTTGAGTATATAAAATCTAGTGAAATAATATCTATACAATCAAAGTTTATTAATTAATATCCTCATTTTTATTTTACTAATTTATTTTCACGGGGTTTTGGGGTTTTGGGGTTTTGGGGTTTTGGGG